GGGCTCCCCGGCCCCGCGCCCCCTCCCTCGGGGTCCCCGGGCTCCCCTGCTCCGTGCTCCCCACGGGGTACCTGGGCCCGCTGGCCCGGGTCCTGGCGCAGGGCAGTGACGAGCGTGGCGGCGCCGATCTCGGCCAGCAGCCGGGCCTCCTCGGGCAGCAGCAGCAGCGGGAGGCCGAGGCGCGCGTTCTGCCGCGGCCCCCGAGCCAGGCTGCCCACGGGCCGGCCCCCCACGCCTAGCCGTTCCCGCAGCGTCCGCGCCCCCTCGGCGCCCCACACCAGGGCCTGCCCGGCCTTCACCTCCACCAGCAGCATGCAGCCGGCTTGCGCAGCCGCTCCAGCTAGGGCTCCGGCTCCTGCGCGTCCGGAGGCCCCTCCCGCCCCGCCCTCGCCCCCGCCGCCGGCCGCCCGCCCAGCCCCAGCCCCGCCCCTTGAGAGCTCGAGCCCCCTACTGCCCCGCCCCTTTCCCGAACGCCCCGCCTTCGTTCCCTGCCCCTTTCAGCAGCCCGGCTCTCAGCGTCATCCCCTCCCTCCAAACGCTCGGGCTTCAGCTCCGCCCCCTTCCCAATGCCCCGTCCTCAGACTCCGCCCCTTTCAGTAACTCACTCCCCAGCCCCGCCCCATTTCGAGAGTTCAGACCTCAGCAACGCCCCGTCAGAACCCTTACTCCGCGGGCCGGTCCCTTCCCCAACGCCCCGCCCCTTCCTTAATGCTTCGTCGCCCGACTCCGCCCCCGTCAGTGGCTCATCCCTTAGCCCCACCCCGTCAGAGGTCAGCAGCCTGAAGCCCCGCCCCCTGGGCATAGAGTCCCGCCCCTCCCCGCCCTCTCCGGTCCAGCTCCGTCCTGCCAGGCGGGGCCGCAGGCTTAATGAGCCGGGGCTCTTGCTCGGGCGCCTGGGGTTCCACCCCGGATCCGGAAGGGGCTGCCCGCGGCAGGAGGGGGAGGGCTGTACGGGGCAGGGAGGCTGCCTCAGCTACTTGGGCCTGGGTCCGGACGGGGCTGCTGGGCTGCAGGTGGGGCGGGGTACCGGGGTGCAGGGCCGGAGACCCCAGGGCGGGCAGGGAAGGGCTGAGGGAAGAGAGATGCCCGAGACGCTGGGGGCGGGGCATGCACTGGGGCCCCTGGGGATGGGGGAGGGATGTCCAGGACATTCTGGGTGGGGGGAAGGAGCATACCCCCCCCCCGGAATGGGGGGAGGTGCATGCCCCCTAGGATGGGGGAGTGGACGGGTCCCCTGGAATGGGGGAGGGGCATGCCCGGGGCCGGAAGGGATGGGTTGCTCAGGCCCCGCTCCCCCACCTCAGAAACATGACGCCGGAGGAGTGGAAGTATCTTGCGATCCTCCTTATCTCCATCCCTGTGGGCTTCCTCTTTAAGAAAGCGGGTGAGGCGCTTCCCCTTCCTGTGGTCCCGGATCGGGCAGAGGGCGGGTGGGGGAAGGGAAGAGCAGGGGGCCCCCCCAGGTGGGGCCAGCGTTCCTGTCCTGACTACCCTCGCTGCTCACCTCCAGGTCCCGGGCTGAAGCAATGGGGAGCGGCAGGGGTGGGTGTGGCCCTGACCCTGCTCACCTGTGGGCCCCACATTCTACACTCGCTGGTCACCATCCTTGGCACCTGGATCATCATGGAGACCTGGCCCAGGTAACTGGCCGGCCCGGCCCCCCTCCCCGCAGCGGAGGCTGGCGCTGACGTGCTAGGCCCACTCCTTCTGGTGACCCGCACCCAGGGGCTCCAGGGTCCCGTTCCCCGCGTGGCCGCCCCAGATTGTCTCCGTGGTCCCGGTTGGGAAGGGCCCGACTTGACAGCCGTGCTGGTGTCTTTCTGTCTGTCTCTGTTTCTCTGTCCCTCGCCCCCCACCCCTTCCTCTGGGCAGGTCCTGCCACGCCCTGGCCCTGGCCTGGACCTTCCTCTATCTCCTGTTCTTCCGAATGGTCACTGTATTTGGGCTTCCGGCCCCTACGCCCTTCACCAATGCCGTGCAGCTGCTGCTCACCCTCAAGGTGAGGTCTTTGGACTCCGTGCAGCTCCCAGCACCCTTAGGACCACCCGCTCCCCCAGACTCCCCATCGACGGCCACTCCGCTCCTGGCCACCAGGCTGCGTCGGGGTTCTTAGTTGCGGGGGTGCTGGGAGCTGGGGTTTCTTCATTCAACTCCGGATCCAGGCTGGAGCTGGAAGGCACCTTGCAGGTCCGTGAAGCCCAGCTCCTTGTTTTACAAACGAGGAAGCTGAGCCCTGGTGAGGTGAAGTGACTGCCAAGGCCGCAAGGCTCAGCGGTGGGGTTGGAACCCAGGCTGGCCCTCCAGACCTGAAGCCAGGGCTCTTTCCTGCTGCCTCCCGGAGCTCCCTGGGGCGGACGGGGCCGGGTGGGCTGGGGCATGGAGATGCCGGGCCCAGCCCTGATCCTGTGCCCTTCCCAGCTGGTGAGCCTTGCCAGTGAGGTGCAGGAGCTGCGGGCACAGAAGGAAGACCCCCCGAAGCCTCCGCCCGTGGGGCAGCTTCTTGCCGTGCCCTCACTGCCCCAGACGCTCAGCTACAGCTACTGCTACGTGGGCCTCCTCACGGGTGAGGCACCCCTGCCCGGCGGCATGCGTGTTGTGTCTGTCACCTTGCATCTGCCCCCTTTGTCCTTGGCTCTCTCTTCTCTGGCTGTCACCTCCAGTTAGGGGGCATGCAGCATGTCTGGAGGCAGCCAGCCCGACCTCCTCCTTAGGGAGGCCAGCAGGCCCACTGACTTCCTCGGTTGCTGGAGAAGAGCTCCCATGTCCTCCCTGAGCCTTCTCTTCTCCAGGCTGTCCTGCCGATCCTCAGGGCCCTCCTTGGAGCGCCCCCCTCAGTTTCTCTGTGTCCTTGAACAGCAGTGCTCAGTACCGAACCCAACACCACCCAAGGTCAAATTAGCTTTTAGCTGCCACATCTCACTGCTGATCCACGTTGAGCTTGTGGTCCACTAAGAATGCCTGCTGTTTCATCATGCCTCCCTGTGATCTTCTAGTGACTAGACTGCTGGATGGGGAATCAGGAAGAGCCGGGTTTAGATCCCACCTGTGACACTTACCAGCCCAGGGGCCCTAGGCAAGTCACTTAACATCCCTGGGCCTGACTTCTCCCTTGGTAAAATGAAGTCACACTCAGCTGGTGCTTCTTCCTGGAGGGCCTCCAGATCTGCCGCATCCTGCCTCCATTTGCCTCAGCTGGGCTCTGGGACGGGCAGTGTGGCCCAGTGGGTAGGGTGCTGCTTCCACTCCTGCCCCTGGCATATCCACCACCTCCTCCTCTGTGCAATGGGAAGAGTGTTGGTAGCTTCTCCCTTGCGGGAGATCACCCGCGTAGCCATTGCCGTGTTGGTCTTCTGTCGAGGGTCCGCAGCGTCCTTGACCTCCCCTCCTCCCTGGCAGGCCCCTTCTACCGCTACCGTACCTACCACGACTGGCTGCACCAGGGACCAGCGGTGCCCAGCCTGGAGCCGCTGTTGCTCCGGGCCCGGCCTGCCCCCTTCTTCGGGCTGCTCTTCCTGCTGTCCTCCTGGCTCTTCCCCCTGGAGGCCGTACGGGAAGATGCCTTCTACAGCCGATCCGTGGCATTTCGCCTCTTCTACATGGTGCCCGTCTTCTTTGCATTCCGAATGCGCTTCTATGTGGCCTGGATCGCAGCTGAGTGTGACTGCATAGCCGCGGGATTTGGGGCGTACCCCGTGGGGGCCAAGTCGAGGGCTGGGGGCGGCCCCACCCAGCCCTGCCCTGCCCCAGACAGGTCAGCATTCCACAAAGAGTCACCGGGGCCAAGGGATGCCCCTTCTGCGGGCAGGCATGGCATCCATGGTCTCCATGGCTGAGCCTAGCCACAGGACCTAATCGGGGCAGCCTCTTCCCCACTAACCGCGGCCCCCTGGAGGATGTGTCTCAGGCTAGCTCCTCCCTCGCTGTTGGAGGACTGTCCCCCCCACTGGCCATGGTCAGTGGAAAAGCCCAGGCCATCCTGTGGCCAAAGGAGGGTGGTCTTCGACACCCCTGCCCCCAGGATTCTCCCTGGTGGTCATGAGGCTGCCGTGCAGGATTGGCGCCTCACAGCTATAGTGGCCTAGGGGTCCAGAGGAGCATGGCCATAGCCCTCCCGAGCTGAGCTGGGCCCCATCCTGTGGGGTGGCCTTGCCTCCAGCCCCTGTTCAAGCCTTCAGAGAAGATTCAGGAGGCAGGGCCTTGGAAGTCTGGCTGCTGTCAGCTTCCCTGGGCCCTATTGTCAAGGGGCAAGTCTACCCTTCACCTCAGTAACCTGGCACAGGCTTGGGCTCCAGGATTCCTTGGGCAGCTGTGGGGGCCCTGGAGGGTGGCATTATCAAGGTCTCACTCTCCCCTGATACCCAAGGGGGATGACCCCCACACAGTAACTGTAGTAGTGAAAGGGCCCCAGCCAGGCCCCTTTGGAAGGCATGAAAGGGGAGTCAGGAGCCCCTCCTGACCCCAAGGCTCTTTCTCTAGCCCTGAAGCTGCGGCAGCCACCAAATATGACTACGAGACCATCCGCAACATCGACTGTCACGGGACGGACTTCTGTGTGCGTGTCCGGGATGGGATGCGGTACTGGAACATGACGGTGCAGTGGTGGCTGGCTCAGTATATCTACAAGAGCGCTCCAGCCCGCTCTTACGTGCTGAGGTGAGCCGCCTGGGGCTGGCACCGGCCGTGGGGATGGGGGGAGGGGCGTGAGGGGCCTCTGACACCCTGCCCCCCACCCCTACAGGAGTGCCTGGACCATGCTGCTGAGCGCCTACTGGCACGGCATCCACCCTGGCTACTACCTGAGCTTCCTGACCATCCCCTTGTGCCTGGCTGCCGAGGGCTGCCTGGAGTCGGGCCTTCGCAACCGCCTCAACCCCAAGGCCCAGCAGGCTTGGGACTGGGCACACTGGTTTCTGAAGATGCGGGCCTATGACTACATGTGCATGGGCTTCGTCCTGCTCTCTCTACAGGACACCCTCCGCTACTGGGCCTCCATCTATTTCTGCATCCACCTTCTGGCCCTGGCAGGCCTGGGGCTGGGGCTAGCCCTGGGGGGAGGGGGCCCTGGTCGCAGGGGAGGGGGCGCCAGGGCTGAAGCCAAGACTCCCCCAAACAAGCCTCCCACACCCCCAGACAAGTTACGAGAGGAGTGAGGGACCCCTGGGGCTGAGCAGGGCAAGTCCAGGCACTGAGCTCCCCCAAACTTTGAGGGGACACCAGAATCCCCAGGTGGCCTGAAGGCTAAGGGGGCTGGAGACCCGGAAGCCTGGATCCCAGAAGAGACAGGAGGATCGGGCCCCCTGGGTCCCTGAGAGAGCAGGACGTGATGAGCCTTATTCCTGGGGGCTGATATGGCTGGAAACCCCGATGCCAGCCTCCCCCCAGGCCGGCTCCGTGGGGGGAAAATTTTAACTTTCTCAATAAAGAGCCTTGGACAAAAGTTTTGTTGGTATTTGTCTTCAGGGGAAGCTGGTGGCTTCTGAGATCCTGGGAGACCCAGACCTCCCTGTCTCTGAGTTTTCCTTTTGTTTGCGAGTAAGGAGGAACAGAGTTTGCTTCTGCCAGGAAGGTGGGCCCTGGACTACCACCCCCAGCAGGCGTTGCAGCACATGCCCTTAGGGCCACAGAACAGCGCCCAGAGTGCTGCTGGGAGAATGATTCCAGATGTGGGAGCGGCCAGGCCAGCCCCGCCCTGGCCTTACCTGGGCACTCAGATTTCCAGCCCTGCTGTAGCCCCAGGGACAGAGACAAGAATGGAGGCCCGAGGAGGACCTGGGGAGGATTGGATCCCCCGGGGGCCTGGCCCAGGTTGGTGGGGGTTGGGGTGGGGAAGAGGAAGGGTCCCCAGAAAGGGGGGGGGGCCATAACCTCAGACTCTGTCCCTAGGCCCTCTCGAAGGAAGAAGGAAGTGGCCTGGAGCCCCAGGGCAAAGTCCTGGTAGCGGAGGGAGGGGAGTCTAGGGTCCCCAGAGGGGGTGGGGTCTAGGGAAAGAATTTCTGGGTAGCTTAGGGGGTTAGGCTGGAGGGAGGGGGATGCTGGAACCCTAACCCTGAGAAGCTGGGGGAGGAGTTGTTAGGTACTATAAAAAATGAGGAAGGCTTGGTTCCCCCAGGGAAAGCTGATGCTCAGAATCCTGAGAGGATGGAGAAGGGGATGCCTGGGTCTCCCAGTGGCAGGAACTTAAATATCAGAGTGAATAGAAGCTAGTGGGGAGGGAAGGCTTAGATCCCCAAAGAAGGGACCCACAAAGGGATCTGGGGACCCCTGAGGGGGTGGGACTAACAGGACCCTGGGATCACCTGGGGAAAGGTTTGCCTCAGACTGTGGAGACACGAGCTAGGTGAGTGGATGCATGCGGCTGCCCCCCTTCTCTCCTCTGGAAGGGCATACTTCAGGATGGGAACAGTGGGGGCTGGGGAAAGGTTTTCCCAGAGCCCCTGGAGCCTCCCAGTCCTTTCTCTTCCTGACTGCCCTCAGGCCCATCACTGTCAGCCCTACTGAGCGAGCTCCCTAGCTCGGCCACAGTGAGATACAGAGGGCCGGGCATCCGTCCCTGGGGAGACCCGGAGCCACCCCTGGAGCAGAGCAGGCAGGAGAGCTGGTCACAATGGCAAACTGCCCCCATGGCATCCCCTGAGAAGCCCCCGGAATCCCAGGCCCTTCGAGAGCTGCCTTGGCCCATGGAGGCCAAAAAGCTTCTGTGGTGAGAACCTAACCTTAACCTAGCGTCTGCCTTGTCTTTTCCCCTCTTTCTAGCTCTGGCTCTAACTCTGAGGGGTGGTGGCTCTTCCATGCCTCTATCCCCCTGCCTGGCACTGTTTTTTCCTCTCTCCTCTTCCATCTATTTTTTTCAAGTCCCTGTGTCTCTGCTCACCTCTCCCCAGGAGGCTTCAAGCCCTGAGCAGGCCAGCAAAGCCAGTGCCAGGCATTCGGGGATCCAAGGGGGCCTTGCTGGTGGGCAGAGTTTGGGCTCGCTTGATTGGAGTCCCAAAGATGCTGGTACCCTGGAGGAGCATACTGATGAAGATTGGGGGTGAGTGACACTGATGGGACAGCTGAGTCTCCCAGTGAGGGCTGGACAGTGGTATCCTTAACATCCCCCTTCTCCCTCCAGGCCAGTATGGAGCAGGCACTGAGGCCTACTTTGGACTACTTCGATTCCTGCTGGGTTTGAACATTCTGGGGGCCTTGTTCCAAGGAGTTCTCACCCTGCTGCCTCTCCTCCTGTTGGGTCCCATCCCAGGACCACCCTCATCAGGGGTCACTAAGACTTGTGGCTCCTATGACCCTGTGCCCCAGGGCTTTGTGGACTATGTCACACACCTCACCAACCTGCTCTCGGGAGAGGTAAGAATCCCCTCACCCTGAATACCTCCCCCACCCCAATCCCAGCACTATTCCCTAGAATTAGACCACAGAACTTCAAAGCAGAAAGACATCCTGCATCCAGTCACTTTTTAGAGGAAGAAATTGAGGCCGTCAGAGGGCAAGGGTGACCAGTGGTCACTGATGAGGCAGAGTGTGGGCTCCGGTCTCAGTCCCCGGTCCCCTGATTTCCCATCCTGGGCTCTCCCCTTTCTGTATGACCCCACCACTGGCCATTTTTGTCTTTCTGCCTGCCCTTTGTTTTCATCACAGGGTCATCTGGAGTGGTCCCCCCTTTTCTATGGTTTCTACCCAGTCCAACTAAGAGGTGGCACCTTCCAGCTGCCAGTCGCCTACCTGTTGTCCACATTTGTCTCTGGCCTCCTCTGCCTTTTCCTGATCCTCCGCAGGTAGGATTCTCCAAGGACCCTGGGCCCAGACCTTCCTTCCCAGCCTCTGGAGTCCCCAACCTCCCCATAAATCAGTACCCTCAGCCCCATTCTCACCCCACCCTCCCCCAGGTCGATGTCAGGACTGAAGCAGACCCTGTTGAGTGAGTCTGGGGCTCTGACCAGCTACAGCCACCGTGTCTTCTTTGCTTGGGACTTCGGACTCCAGGGCAGCAGCCCCGTGGAGCTCCGCAGGCGAGCGATACGCTACGAGCTGCAGGTGCTTCCAGGGCGGCAGAGAGAGGAGCACCATGGACAGGGGCCCAGAAGCATAGGGGGCGGGGCTCAGAACTTCGAGGGGTGGGACACTGGCTTGGGAGGCCAGGGGGGCCCCAGCCGAGGGGGAGGACCAGGACTTAGGCTGGAGGAATTTGAAACTGAGAGCGCGGGGAGACTTGAACAGGACCATGAGCCGAGGGAGGGAATGGAGAGGGAAGGCGCAAGGGAAGGGCCAGCTGCCAGCCTTCCCCCAGGCCCCCGCGCCTGAGGTCGGTTCTCGCCATCGCTTCCACAGGTGGAACTGGAGGAGGCCTCGATGAGGAAGCAGGCAGAGGCCCGGACCGGGGCGCAGCGGGCTGGTCTGTGGATGACTAGGATATTGCTCAACCTGCTGGTGCTGGCTCTGCTCGGGGCAGCCTTCTATGGGGTCTACCAGGCGACGGACCCCCACAAGAATCTACAGGTGTGGCCCAGATGCCGACGGGATGGGACCAAGAGACACGGTGCAAGAGAGCCTGCGGCGGGGGAACGGGGCCGGGATTTGGGGCACATGGAATGCTCTGGAGGGAGCTGAGACCCTGAGGGCAGGGACGGAGAGTCCTGTCAGGTCTGCTCCCCAGCCGCGTTCTCCCACCTCAGGAGGATCCCGTGGTCCAGGCAACCCCGCTGCTGAAGCTGCTGATCGCCTATCTGCCGTCCATCTTCATATCCACGGCCAACCTTATCCTGCCGCCCGTCTTCAGCCTCATCACCAGCCTCGAGGGCTACACGCGCAGCCGCCAGATCCAGTTCATCCTTCTCAGGTGGCCCAGTCGGAGGGACCAGCTCGGGGGGTCAGACCGAGCGCCTTAGACTCCCAGTTTGGGCTCCTCCATCACTTCACACTCCGCCTTCCCTTCCTCCTACCCAGGACCGTGTTTCTCCGCCTGGTCTCACTCGTGGTCCTGCTGGTATCCCTCTGGGATCAGATCACCTGTGGGGGCAAGCCCGAGGCTGAGGCCTGTGCCACGTGCGGCTACGACTACAGCATACTACCGGTGATGCCAGGATCCCAGAGAAGGGGCCAGGGCTGGGGACACCTGGACTTCCCAGGGTGGGGGTGAGGGGGAGGGCCAGCCCTGGAAAGGGGACGCCTTGGCGCCCCAAGGAACAGAGACGGGGAGAGGACACCTGGAGCCTCAAGGGGCAAGGGCCAGGGATGCAGGGTCCCCGAGGGGGCAGGGACGAGGAGAAGGGGAGTGAGGCTTTGGGTTTTACCTGACGCACCCTCAACCGCATCCCCAGTGTTGGGAGACTCGAGTGGGGCAAGAGATGTACAAGTTGCTGCTGTTTGACCTGTTGACTTGCCTGGCGGTCCCTCTGCTGATTCAGTTCCCGCGCAAGTACGCTCCAGTCCCACCGTCACCCGCACCTCCCCCTGGCCCTTCCTAGCGACCCCTACCCTCTTCCTCCTCCCTTCCCCTGAGATTTTTTTTCCTCTTCTGGCCAGCCCCATACTCCATTCCCGAAATCTATTGTTTCTATCAGTTCTGGGAGATCCGCCCCTCTATTAGACCCCGCCTCCTCTCCCTTGGGATTGGGTTAGAGGAGTGCTGGATGCCCATTGGGTGTCCAGGCCAGGGACATGGCAAGCCTGAGAGTTGAAGGGAAAACCGGGGACTGGATAAAAGCAAGCCAAGAACCGGCTTCTCCTCTCGTTTCTTTTCCAGACTCCTGGGGAGTATGTGCGGGGGCCGTCTGGGCCGTCTGGTAAAGACCATGGAGTTCCAGGTTCCAGAGGAGGTGCTGGGGCTGGTGTACGGGCAGACGCTGGTCTGGGTAGGGGGCTTCTACTGCCCTCTCCTGGCGCTGCTCAACACAGTCAAACTACTGCTCACCTTCTACCTGAAGAGGGTGAGGGGGAGTGCCCCAGGCGCCTGGGACTCCAGCGGAGTGGAGGAGGGGGCGCCCGGCACTCCAGCGGGGTGGAGAGGAGGGGGCGC